AATAGTATAATTTTAGTTTTATACTTGTTATTAGTTTTTTTCTTGAACTCTTTTAAATATACGTACCTATTTGTTAATAACTTTGAATTAAAATTATATAATATTTATAATAAAAAAGAAAAATGATCATGGTAGAATGTCCGAATAGTGTCTAAACCCTAGTTGAAATGTCCGTACTATAAAAAATGTAGACAAGTAGTACTCAACACATGTCCTATGCCTAAAGTGTCCTAAGAACATAGATGACTCTACCTTAAGAGAAATGGCAACGTTTACTATATGTAATTACATAACTTCCTTCTTTGTGCGTTTATCAAAGCTTATAATTGCTTATAAGCAGCGAGTTCTATTGAATGTGTGGTTAAAAAATAAGTAAAAGTTGTGGATCTTACGAATGCATAGATAAAAATAGAGTTTGAATAGTTTATAAGCAATTATAAGCTTTGAAAAACATGCACTTTAGTATGATATGCTCCATCTGCATTGAATTTGACCATGTGGCATGATGAAAATATGTCTAAAGTGTGCTGGTAAATGTTCCTGGTGTTGTATCTTGACTTTATATTGTCCCACATGTGCTAGAAATTGATTTTGTTCAATTCCACACTATAAGGTGACTTTGTTGTTCTATCATCAATTTACGAAAGGATTACTAGTACTACATCAAAAGAAAGATAGCAAGTTAACCCTTTTGTTCTCCTAAATATATGAGCTTCCTCTTTATTTTTTAAGTGTTCAAATTTGGAAAAAGTCATACATTATTTCGGTGTGAGAATCTCAGACATTTTGTGCTCACCTAGTCCATGTACTTTTGGTGGGGGATTTTGGTTGGAGTACTTTGTACTCTTTTAGTATCCATAAAGTACGAACACTCCTTTTAGGATCACTTTTTATGTCCTGTACAATACTAACAGTTCTACTAGGTCCACATGTCGTGTTGTGTTCAACACCAATACTCATTGGACGTTACACAAACGTAACTGATAAATCGTATACCATCTCCTATTTTTATACTTTTAAAATTTGTGACACTCAAGAGATACTTTAAAGACACTCCTTGGGCAAGTGTCTGACATATCATGTGCCCTAACATCCTTTCCTTATAATAAGAAGATCTAATACTAGAATCTCGTAGAAAGATTAATGAGCTGAGGAATGACTCCTATGCCGAATGATTGATTTAGTAAACTTTGATTCCTCATATCCTATATTGGAAAGTAGAAAAAATTAAGATATAACGTGTAAATGTGAAACTTTAAAGAATTTAAATGGATGTCACTGATGTGTCTGTTTCTTCCTTTTCTGGGAACGTGTTTGTGCTTATTAGCTTAGTAGGTATTGTAGGAGGTTCGAGATTGAGTACGTAGTACTCTTTTGTATTCTTCCCTTTTGTTTAGTAAAAATCTTCTTCTCTCTGCCTATGGACCTAAGCTAAGTGCCAAAACACATAAATTTCTTGTGTTAGTTTTCTCTTTTACATTTGGCCTAGAACTTAGAACTGGAGCTTTCACAACACACCTAGCATATCAAAAATCGCAAAAAGAATTATAAATAATAGGACACATCACTTATCGTGTTAGACAGGTGTAGTATGTGCCAGGACACAGAATACTCTCGTAGGAGTGATATAATATAGAACTACATTCTCTGGCATGTCAAGATCCATGTGCATTGAATTTGACCAAGGGGATACAGATCAAAACAATGCCAGAGTACACCTCAAAGAAAAATCTTATCATGCTGAGCAGATTCCATCATAAAAACTACAAAAAATAAATTGCGGTTAGGTATGAAATGGTAACTTACCACACCAGGTTCATCATTTGGAGGTTTAGTCAGAAGTTCTTGTTCGTTTCCAATGCTGTAGCGTGTTAAGTCACTTTTGTGCTGCTTCCTATTGGCACGAGCTTGTGAAAACACTACTGAGTAATTAGTATTAGTCCCAGCCTTGTTATCCCACCCTCCAAATTCAGGTACAGACTTCCAGTTTTTCTGCCAGTCAAGAAAAAGAGCAATAAATAAGATCGGTAAATACAAATTATGAGCAGATAATACTAACATTAATGTATGACATATTTGATGAAATCATCTCATCTAAAGCTCAAGTGATTATGAAGTGGAGAAATTTATTCATTCATGCGTGATCATCAAAGGCCTGCCACGTGAATGTGCATTAGCCAATATCCCCTTGGTCATGAAGCACATTGACTAATGCATCTAGCATAAATTAATGCTTAATTATTTCATGACTATGTATTATGTGAATTAAGATCTTCTATGACTGCTAAAAGCCATCATAGAATACTATCCACGATGGGTGTTACGCATCATATCTGTTTAAGAGAAAATTGGTCATCGATGATGAGAAATGATAAGAAATTGGCTTTTCGAACACAGATAAGGTGTTCATAAATCAATAATTATCCAATTCAGCTCCTGTCTTGCAAGATCAAAAGTTAGCACACTGAAGAAAAAAAGCGGCAATAAGATTACAAGAGTTCGCAGCTTCAAAAAGCAATATTAAACAACTTACCAATCAAATTAGTGGAGACTAATTTAACTGGGATATTAAGCAATGAACGCATTTCCTCATGATTAATTATAACATTAATAGAACCTATAAATGTTGAATCCAAACTTCTTGTGTTTTGCTCGTAGCTGGAGATCATATGCTCGGAAGGAACGAGGGTCGTGGAAGGTTGACAGTTAACATCATTAATTGTTATAAACAATTCATATGGCATAGCCTACTAGTTGTGAAAAGGGATTCAGCCTCCAAATTTATTAAGAATAAAATGGGCAACAAAAATGTAGCAATCGTGATTCACATTATCAAGGCACTGATACAATACATTTGACTCCAAATTTACTATGAGGAAAAACGGGTCATCGAGAACATCGCAATCATGATTCACATCATCGAATTAATTTCCCTGTAATTGACAAGATGCCCATTTACGATAGCGTTCAATAACCAAAATTTTATTTCCAATAAATTCAGAATCTACTTCATGAATTCTCAATTCAGTAAAGGTTCAATTTGACAAGATTCGCAATGCCAAAATTCCAATTCAACATCATCTTTCAAAATTGAATAAACTAAATTAATATACAGAAAAATGAATAAAAAATTAGCTTTATTATTTTGGAAATAGCCAAAAATTCACCTCCATAGAAAAGGGGAGAGGAGATTGAAGTGTGGAATATTTCGGAAGCAGACACTTTGATTTCCCTGTTCATTTACAAGGATCTAGTTGGGGAATTTAAAGGGAAGATTCAATTTGAGTGGAAATAAAAAACAAATTAATCTCAAACCATTAAATTCATAAATATTTGGAATTTTTGTTGTTCAAATGAGAGGGAGGGAGGATTATTAGGTTATTTGGTTGAGACTTGAGGGATGCATAATTCTCTCCCCGAACATTGACCGGTATTTTGGCGAAAGTAATCCCTAATCTTTACCTTTAGTGCGTAAATGATCACTAACTTTTTCTCTTGACACATATATTCCTAATGTAAGTAATTTGGTGCTTTATTGGTCCTTTGCCGTTAAAAACACCAATGTAAGCACATGTTTTGTGGAGATTAAAATCAAATTAAAATTTCAAATCAAAATCAATAATTAATTATAATTATACATTTTTGAGATCCATAACTTTTTAACTACATATTTTATTAAATTTTATTAAAATCTACTGAAAATCTGTTTTAAAAAAAAAAATTGTAGTTGGATCTCTAATATTTTTGCAGAAGGTACAAATGGATCCCATGCTCGGGAACCATTAACTTTTTCTTTGTCTTGAATTGATAATTTATTGATCAAATTAATAACATGTGTAATTATTTTATATATTTACGAATTATTGTGAAATAATTTAAACTTAAGTTCATGAGTAATCAACTAACTTGTTGACGTCATTAGTTTTATTAATAAATACTAAGTAATTGTACTATCTAAAAATTTAAATTCTATACTATAGTTTATAATAAAAAGGTCGATAATTGAATACTATATTAAACGAGTCAAGTCGAGTCAGATCAAATCATCCAAAGAGTGACCTTAGCATGCTTGAGATACCTGTACTAGGTTATGATAAGCTTAACGCACGTCTAAAAATGGTGGCATGTGAGGAGCTCGAACCCTTTTTTCGAGATGAGTTGTCACACGCTTGAGCAAAATTTAGAATATTATATGTCCGTTGAAAGATTATTACTTTCAATTGTTAAATAATTCTTTCGCATGCAATGGTTAATTACTGGTTTTAGTTTTTTTTTCTTTTCGTGAAAAAGATGATAAATGTTACGAGGAAAAAAAATAGAATTTCGAGGTGAAATAGGTGAGTGACATGACTTTATCACATCTTACGGTTTGAGTGCTTGTACATATTTCTTTGTGACAACTTTTTTAGATGTTTTAGTAAGTACAGCAATTCATGCGAACCATTCTAAGCCCTTGTTTGACAACTATCAAAATGAGGTTTTTTTTTGGAAAATGAGTTTTGAGATAATGATTTTTTGGATAATGTATAGTTAAAAAGTAGTAAATAATTTTAGATTTACGAGGAAAATTTTTTATTATGTGAATACTTGGTCGAAAATTAGTTTGAGAAAAAATAATTTTAGTGATTGTTAAGCAGCCGGGGCTAAAATTTGTGATACATTCTAAAATAATAATGCTATCTAACACTAATGGTGCGGTGTACCAATTTATGAGTAAATATGTGATAGTTCATAATAAATAAGTTATAAATTCTTGTATTTAATTGAACATATAATTTAATAACACAAATGATGCCACCTAAATTGGTACTACTCATTCTAAAATTCAAATACCATTTTATAAAAAAATTGTTGAATTAAAAAGAAACGTCCAAACGCCGTCGTTTCCTGATTAACCGCCCTATCTTAGATTTCCTATGTACCAAATTTGTTACCCGTAATAAATCAAAATAAAAATCAGCCCTAGCCCTAATCTAAAACCCTTCCCAAATTTTCAGGCAATGGCTACGATCACTCTCCGCAAGGGCAACACGCGACTCCCGCCGGAGGTAAACCGGGTTCTCTACGTGCGTAATTTACCCTTCAACATCACGAGCGAGGAGATGTACGATATCTTCGGGAAGTACGGTGCGATAAGGCAGATCCGTATCGGGACCAACAAGGACACTCGCGGCACCGCCTTCGTGGTATACGAGGATATCTACGATGCCAAGACTGCCGTCGACCACTTGTCGGGATTCAACGTCGCGAATAGATACTTGATTGTTTTGTACTATCAGCAGGCCAAGATGAGCAAGAAGTTTGACCAGAAAAAGAAAGAGGACGAAATCACGAAGCTTCAGGAGAAGTATGGGATTGGTACTCCTGCATCTAAAGATAAGTAGGGTAATCAATGAGTCAGCGTCTTGCGAGAACTACTGTTGAACTAGAAAGAAAACAGCTTGTGTTGTGAAATTTATGTTTCGTGGAGTTAATGTAAACTGGTATTTGTTCTTTGGGGTTATGATTTAACGAATGATTATTGCAAAACTTAATATGTGAATGGAGATTATTGATTGATGGGTGTTAATAATTAAAATTGGTTCAGAAAACCTACACTTTGCCTCTCGCCCATACCTCTACCCCACAAGAACGAGGTTATTTTCGGCTCTTTGAACAAGGGATTAATTATAGTTTTGGGTGGACTTTGTGCTAGCGATACTATGGTGAATTGATTATGGCTAATGTATATTTCAAGACTTGTCAATTTGATTTTCGTCATTTTGTGTTTAAATTATGATGAAAAGAGAGAAACAATTGTTATAAACCAACTTGTGCTTTCACATTTATGTGCAAAATGAAGTGAAGAATTGATAGAGTCTTGAACTTGAATTATATGTGTTTTCTTTTGAGTTTCATGTTATCATACATTTCCATAAAGGCTGTTTTATGTTTGATTAGCATGCTTTACAATGAAAAAACTAGTTTAATGGAGCTTTTGATCTGAAGAGGTTGGGAATATTAGAGGATTCAGATGGGTACAGGTGTTTTAAGGATGAAACATTTGCTCCAGTAATTCGTTCACATAATATTCGATCTTGAGTCTATTCTTTCTAATCTAGTTTAGGCGCGACGGATTAATACTGCCCCGGATGTGTTGTGCACATGTCAAGATAGGAGTATGCATATAAAACAATGTAAAAATTGTAACACCCACCAATATTTTAGGTCTATCATAATCCTTATACTTGTGGGATCATCAAAACTCGTATGGATAACACACTAAAGGAAAGGTTATCCTAGTGAGATGATTTTCCCAATCTGCAGCCTCACTTTGTCTTCAATCCACTTGAAACAATGTTATTGAGTTACAAAATGTCTTTGCGAACTAGAGAGTATTATGCCGTCTGATTCTACTGTTTTTTCCTGCTTCAATTGAACTCAAGCTTTCTGTCTTGTGTGAGAATTTTGAATGACAGCATCTTTGTGATCCTGTTGATTATGTGAGTTTGTAGATCCATACTGTGTGGACTTTATCCCATAAACTTTAAGAGTGTTTGCTTGAATTTGAGACATACTAGTTATTCAATATTTCACGGATAGAAATAGAACTCGGGATTTTCCCAGGATATTACCACTGTAATCAATGGTTTTTGTTTTCCTCCAATTACTTGCAAACAGCTCACCACATGATAAACCTACTATCTTTCTTTGAGTTAGTATGTTATTACTGGAATTTTGATGGTGCGTGTATTTCTGGAAGATTTTCAATATTTTAACTCGTTGAACATTTTTTGTTGTCCCTGTTTGTCTTTTGTATGGCTAAATTGGTGAAATTGCAAGATATTTTAAAGTATATAATTGGAAGGTTAGTTTGTTACCATTTGGGATATGGTTGTTAAACATGTATGTGCACGTACCCGTCCTACGAGGTGGCTCTTGCGTTAACTTGGCCTTTTTCACTGACAAGAAGACGGTTGTATTGCTACGACAAGGTCGTCTCCAAATGTGCATGTTGCTCAAGTTGATAAAGCCATAAATGTATGTCTGAAACTCTAGTACAAGTGCAATGTATTTTAGGAATATTCATATGACTTTGCCATGAGGAACTGTGTGTAATGTTTACTATCAATCTGTAAAGTTAAATATAGAATCAAAGGACCAGATAAATAATTGTCTATACAAAGGAAGAAAAATGAAATGTAAGTTCTTGTGCTGCACAGTTCCTAATGGATGCTACGTAATACAGCAAAGGATGACATCTATTAGTACATGCATACATTTATGTTAGTGAACAATATGATAAATAAGATTTTAGTCATTTCTTTTCTTAATGATATTGTTGAGTGTTGTCTACCCTAAGTTGTTTGCAACAATAGGGGCTAAAATCGACCATTAGCCCATGATTCGTAGTTTCTAGGAGATTTGCAAACCAGCCGGCCTTCCCTCCACTGAAGAATTTGTGGAAATTGTATAGTGAATCCGTAAGTCTCCTCCTTTTGTTTGACCGCTGCAAATTTATTAAACAAACATATCTCGTCGTTTCCTGGGATTTTTATATTTATAGCAATAAAAAATAGGGAATTACACTTTCACCTAGAAAATGTAGCTCATTTGCCGTATGAAACGGTCGTGGTGAAGTAGATTGAATAGCACTAAACAATATAAAAAGAAATAACCCTAAGTATCTTTCTTATGTAAAAGAATCGAAAGAATGAAGTAGTCATTTCAACATAAAAGGAAAATTCATTGTCTAGAAGATTAAAGAAAGAAGAAACTAATGCATAAATAGTATGCAAAAGTTAAGATGTGGAATGTCGAACCGTTTCAGATTAGAAATCATTCGCAATGACATAAGATAATTAAACTTCAGCAGTTACATTGTTAAAATCAACTTCATAAATGATTTCCATGATGTCCTTCTTGTTGTTTTTACTCTCGGAGAGCTTGTTCTAGTTCTTCTATCGTAATATATCTGGTGGAACATAAGAAATTATAAGTGTTAACGAAAACATATTTAAGGACCGCCTCATGTGAATGCTTGTGTTCTTGGGAGATCACACCCACAATGCTCCCCTTACGTGCTGAAATCATTTTTCTATCAAATGCTCTGAGAGTTGAGATATGGGAAGTTATTAGGTGATAGCGATACTTGAACTTAAAACAAAGAAAGTTGGTTCTAACCTGCTGTTATCTTTGTCAAAATACTGGAATGCTGTGTAGAGACGCTTCCCTGTCCATTTTGTTCATATGCATTGTTGCAGTAGTGAATTCTTTGTAATCTATCGTCCCATTTCCATCAGCATCGGCCAATTTTTATCCAAATCCAAGAAGCATTAGGTTTATAAACACAAATCAAATTTAGTACGTTTTATATTCCATAAACTTACAGATTCCATTAGTTGTTTCACTTCGGTTTCGGTTAATCTCGTCCATTGATCTGCCAATCCTTGCTTTAGCTCTTTAGAGTGTTATTGTACCACTGGTATCAGTATCCATGCTTTTAAACATTTGTTTTAATCCCATGATTTCTTCTTCTGATAGGCAGCCTACAATAACCTGGTAATTCCAAGAAAATTACAAGAGCTACAAGTTTATGTGTGCGCTTGGGTATAGTTATAAATGCACACCCCCCACAGATAACTAAGATTGCTCGAGGTTGAATAAAGTAGTAGAAGAAGAGAGTATAGGGTGTCTAAGACGAGAGGATCGATGGTTCCTTAATAGTTTTATATTTCTCTTTTATCATGTGAAGACACTTTACCTCTTGACTTTCGGTGTTTTACAAGACAGTATAATTAACACAATAGCTAAAACATTGTACGGATAAACAAAGTGTCATTACCCGAAGTGCTACTTTCTTGAACTTATTCATGGCTTGGAATTGTTTGAGTCTACTTAGAACTGTGTTATCCAACGGCGTGCCAGGTGCTTCTCCATCCTCCTTGATCCATGGATGATTTTAAAACATAATTATAAACCCGGGTTAAAAAAATATCTGTTATTCGTATGATAATTCCTATCTACAAAGTATGTGTTATTAGAATATTACTATTAATCATACGTACTTCGCAATTGTACTGCCGTCAGCCTATGCTTGAGATCAGAATGTAGCATCTTCCTCACAAGACCCATTGTTCCATTTGAAATTGAAGGCCAAGGAACACTTGTAAAATCAACGTGTCCTCGTAAAATTGAGTCGAATATCCCATTTTCGGATTCTGCGCCTCAATTTCATGTGTCACTAGTTTAAGATCTCGAGTAGGTTCGCATTCAGAAGCCCTTTTGAGGGGATGAGAACTTTCACTGTGATCGAGTTTACAAGATTACGAAAAGAATTTGATAAAAAAGTAATAAAGTACCTGCCCAGAAAATTCTCCAGCTTGAGATCCCGGTGAATGCCCCCCATTGAATGGTACGTGTGCTGTGTGCACGATCTCTATTATTGTTCTGAGCAAGGACGCAGCAGCTCGTTCTGTGTAATGTCCCTTAGAGATGATCCCGTCAAAAAGTTCTCCACCTGCACACAATTCCATTACCAAATGCACCGAATGTCTGTCCTCGTAAGTGCCTTTGAGTTCGACGATATTAGGTTGTCCTGTCAAATGGTGCATGATTTGGACTCCCTTCGAACATCCTCGATATCTTCCTTGTTCACTAGTTTCCTTTTCGCTATCGTTTTACAAGCGAATTGCCCGCCGGTTTGCTTTTGTGTGCATAAATGTGTATGCCGAATTGTCCGCTCCCCAGCTCTTTTCCGACCGTGTATAACAACCGGATGTCTGCAATCGGCCGGCCTAAAACTGGTCCTATGGGGGCTTGTTTTGGAGCTTTTGAAGGCTTAGGAGAGAGTAGGGATGGCAACGGGACGGGTATGGGACGAGTTGGCCATTCTCACTCCCATCGCATCGGGTTTTTTTTTGTGATCTTACCCCATCACCATACCCGCTTAAAGCGGGACGGGCTGGGTTCGGGGCGAGGCAAGTTTTATGCCCCATTTATTTTTTCTTTTTCTTTTTTTATTTATTTTATTTTTTACTTTTTTATATTAGTTAGTAAATATTATTACTTTTTTACAAATTTATTAAAAACAACTTATGTTCTCTTAACAAATGATGATAAATTTATTATTTTTGTTTGATCAATATTTATTAAAAACAACTTATGTTCTCTTAAAAAATGATGATAAATCTATTATTTTTGTTTGATAAAAAACTTAAATTTGAAATTAACTTTAAACGGGGTGGATAGCGGGGCGGGAATTATGTTTCCCTTACCCATCCCATACCCGCTTCGGGGCAATGAATCTCGTCCCGTCCCCGCCCCGTTTACCCGGTTAATCCCCGCCCCATTTAGGGCTGGACCCCACGGGTATCGGATTAAACGAGTTTTTTTGTCATCCCTAGGAGAGCAGTTGGGTGATGCAGCAAGCGGGGTGGACTTCAGCGGTGGGCTGGCAGAGTAATGTATTGAAGTGTTGCCCCCGCTACCATCGACCACTGCAGCATTTTCATTAAGGGTTCGTTTAATTGCAATGGTGGAAAGAAAATGAATTTCAGGAAAAATAATTGTGTAGAAAATGTTTTGCAGTGAATTGTTAATTAAGTGTGTTTTATTTGTATAATTTTCCACCCGAAATTTTTTTAAATTTTGTATTCGTTTGACTTTGTTTTATATGAAAATTGTTCATTAAAGTGATAATTTTTTTCGTAATTGGTTATAAAATTTGTTTCCATTACTAAAAAGTAAAAAAAAAAAAACGAAAAATTTTTCGTAAAAAATCATTTTTCATCAAAGTTTAGTATTCATTTAGCTTTATTTTATATGTAAATTATTCGTAAATGTTTTTTTTTTTTTTTACAATTAGTTATGAAATTTGTATTCATTGCCAAAAAAACAAACAAACAAACAAACGTGGAATTCATTTTCCCACAAAAAAGGTGGGAAAAACATTTCCCACAAATCATGGAAAACTGGTGCGTGAAGCAAGGGTGGGAAAATTTTTGGCCTAGAAAATTGTGGCTATCAAACTAGCCAAAACCAAGAAGAAGGAAATTGAATTCCATTTTCCAAGGAAATAATGGCTTTTCAAACAGGGCCTAACAGATTCAGATTTTCCCGCTGTATTGTTATATTCAGCTTCTGCTGCAGTATTCTGGAGCAACAATTTCCCATTGAAGGAGAGACAGGAACAGATAAGTTGGAAAACTATTGAAAAATTAGGGGTTGAAAACAGATCAAAAGGATTGTTTAGAGAGAGAGAGAGAGAGGCATTGCATGGGATTGGATTCGATTGATGGTGAGACATTATAGGACGAAGAAGAGAATTTCAAATTCAGACATTTTACTGTTAGAATTTCATAATTTTTCCTTTTTTTATTTTGTTAAATAGTTTGAAAGTTGTGTTCATCAATGAAATTTTACCGTAAATAAAAATGTTTGATATATTAGGCTTTAAAAAAGTAACGCGTGCCTGTAAACTATTGTTTCTTCAAAAATAACAATTTTTTATAACTAAAATCTATTAAAGGAAAGCTAATAAAAACTCAACATGTCTGTTATCGTCAAAGCCCACTGTCTTACTCTACATTAACAACGTATACAACAAAAATACGACTCACGCATCATAAATGGTTACACTTCTAGTAAAGTCTGCCAAAATCACGTAATTGAAATCTAAAGGTGCTAATTTCAAGCATATCCCCAAGCTGGGCGAGGATATCCTCGTAAAGAGCCACTGCTAATGGGCCTGAGGAGCAGAACAAGAATGTTTACTCTCTTACTCTCGATACCCCTTGCAATACCAAGACAGAGAGAGCAGTATCTCCTGGAAGATGGCAAATATTGCTACCCAATAAGTATGTGTGACTCAACAGTGCAATTGGCAAAATTTTAACTTACTTTTCTTCCGCAACTCATCTTGCACATATTCATGCTGAAGAGAGCTTTAGTGTATCGCACCCTAGTCATCTTCACTCTCCCTTTCCCAATGTTGATNGGGACAAACATTTCCCACAAATCATGGAAAACTAGCGCGTGAAGCAAGGGGTGGGAAAATTTTTGGCCTAGAAAATTGTGGCTATCAAACTAGCCAAAACCAAGAAGAAGGAAATTGAATTCCATTTTCCAAGGAAATAATGGCTTTTCAAACAGGGCCTAACAGATTCAGATTTTCCCCCTGTATTGTTATATTCAGCTTCTGCTGCAGTCTTCTGGAGCAACAATTTCCCATTGAAGGAGAGAAACAGGAACAGATAAGTTGGAAAAATATTGAAAAATGAGGGGTTGAAAACAGATCAAAAGGATTGTTTAGAGAGAGAGAGGCATTGCATGGGATTGGATTCGATTGATGGTGAGACATTATAGGACGAAGAAGAGAATTTCAAATTCAGATATGTTACTGTTAGAATTTCATAATTTTTCCTTTTTTTATTTTGTTAAATAGTTTGAAAGTTGTGTTAATCAATGAAATTTTACTGTAAATAAAAATGTTTGATAAGTTAGGCTTTAAAAAATCAACGCGTGCCTGTAAACTATTGTTTTCTTCAAAAATGATAATTTTTCATAACCAAAATCTATTAAAGGAAAAATAATAAAAACTCACTTTAACATGTCTGCTATCGTCAAAGCCCACGGTCTTACTCTACATTGACAACGTATACAACAAAAATACCACTCACGCATCATAAATGGTTACACTTCTAGTAAAGTCTACCAAAATCACGTAATTGAATTCTAAAAGTGCTAATTTCAAGCATATCCCCAAGCTGAGCGAGGATATCCTCGTAAAGAGCCACTGCTAATGGGTCTGAGGAGCAGAATGAGAATGTTTACTCTCTTACTCTCGATACCCCTTGCAATGCCAAGACAGAGCAGTATCTCCTGGATGATGGCAAATATTGCTACCCAATAAGTATGTGGGACTCAACAGTGCAATTGGCAAAATTTTAACTTACTTTTCTTCCGCAACTCATCTTGTACATATTCATGCCGAAGAGAACTTTAGTGTATTGCACCCTAGTCATCCTCACTCTCCCTTTCCCAATGTTGATCATCCAAAAGATCTTCCGGTGGGTCAAAAACAATCATGTCCGGGAAAAGTTCCAAGAAGTCATCCTTCACCTTCTCTCTCAATTCTGGGTATGTAATGAGTCCTTTTAATATGACACGATAGGGCAATGATAGTGGGGGATCAGGTGACTCTCTCATTTCATCATATATACGCATTGCTTCATCCGGCAATTCATTGTCCAAGAAAGCCCTGACTAGGTCTCCAAATGTATGCTGATCAAAAAGAACTTGTTCTCTCTTCAAATCTGCCCAAACCACCCTTGCTTCGTCGATCTTTCTGTTTCTTGCAAGCATCATAAGCATGTCCCGGTAGAAGAACATGTCTGGGCGGTACCAAGTTTCATTTCGCACCACATCATATAACTGTACAAGTACAAGTGTCAATTAGTACAACATATTTTATAAACATTTCTGATGTAAACAATAGCCTCGAGATAAAGGCACATTAGATGCAAAAAGAAAAAAAAAACTAAATACTCTAGTGTAAATAAATGCGCGTATTATAGACAACCACGCATCTGGATATTCAGAACTTTCAAATGCGAAAAGAAGGCTGCTATTCTCTATTGCTTTCGCAGGTGAACTTCATTGTTGCCAATTTAATTATTCTTAAATAGTCATATGCCTAAACCTGTGAAATCTCAAAAAATTCTAGAGACGTGACGTGACACCTTTCTTCCCACAAAAGATCGGAAATCTCTTTATCAATGTTTTTCACTCAAGAAGCCAAATCTGTCCTTCAAGAACCATGCAAAAAGATGGAAACCCGTTCTCCTAAAGCCATTATAAAGTAGAAAGAGCTGCTTGGCATAATCTACCAGCAGTCCAGAACATATGGGATATGGATTAAATGAATAACTCAAATTACCTATAGAAATTAATAACACGAAGTAAGGAAAAACGAAAGTAAGAATAACACACGAATTAAGGTATTTCACCCTCAATGTGAGAGCTATTGCACCCGGTGCCACTGCACAATTACACTATATCGAAGAAGAGGATTACGATGACACTTTCTGTTTTCTCTCGACTATGATACACATTCAACAATACCATCCTGTGCAGTTACATTTACTAAGAACTTTGGGAAATATGCACTGGTTCAAGGTCTCCTGCCTAACCTTCCGAAGGCTCTTAAATCATAATTTAAACTTTCTTCACATTGTACCAACTGATAAACACACGGGAATGAGATATATTATATTGAATCTTTCCTTTTGAGGTCTGTGGGAAAAAAAAAATATATATAGATCAAATTATAATTTAGAAAATGCAAATTGCATGCCAGGCAGCAGGCCATTTTACATAAAACTAAGTTGTTATTTGAGAACCCCTTTTACGTAATTAATTTTGCATCCAAATGAATTTAATAGAACAAACGTATCGTAATTCTTAGCACAATTCACCATTGTAGCTAAAATTGACCATGCACACTAGACTGAGCTTAATTTCAACCATAGCCAGACTTCTGAAAAATTCAAAACATCATAACCTGATAAATCCTCTTAACTAATATGTGTATATTTTTTTTAAAACCAAAACAGAAGATATTATTGAAGTATATAATTACGAATAGCGGATGAAATGAAATACAGAATTCAATCTATCCGACTAATTATCAACTAAAGAATATGAAAAAATTTCCCATACCTGGGAATAAAGAAACACGAGTCATGGCTCACATCCTGCAACAATGAAACTACTATTCGGGGTAAATTTCCTAATAGAAGAAAGAATTTGAACTAATACAAAGTTCTATCGACAACAGAAGTTATTGTGGATGGTGCTTTCTCTCGCATTGCAGTTCCCTCCTAGACTCCTCATATTACCAACACTTGATACATATACTAAATGTAGTCCTATTATGATTCTCCCTAAGATTGTCATCAATTGGAAATCAATTTCGATTCTCCTAAAAATTCAGTATTATATTGCAAATCCACATAAAATTTAAAGCACATTGGTACACAATCAATAAAATTCATGTGGAACAACAAAATTCCCCAAAATTAAATGAATAAATTAGTCGAATAAAGTACAACAATAAATAATAAATCGAAATTTCCGAAAATAATCAAACCTTCATGGAGAGAGAGACGAGATTTTGGCGCTGGAATTCAACAAGAACAGCAACAAGGTCTGATTTGAGGAGGCGGGAGACATTGCTTTTCATGAACCGCTCGAACCGCACAGTATGGCACTGCAGTCGCTTCAGTTCCTTGGCCACCATTAGCCCCTCCTTACTAATCTCCTTCTTCCGACGCCATATCGACAGGCTCGGGCTCGACGCCGCGCCGGTGATGACGTGTCTGCTTCTGATTAGATGCAAGCGAGGGACTCGGAGGAGATTCTGCACTCGCCGCCACATTCAAGCCGTGTTCAGGTGGTGGTGAATTTTCAGTTGGCAATAATCCGGTCCGGTTCCGCTCTTCATTATTATCCAAAGAGGAATTTCACTTTTTTGTGCTCATTTGCAAAAATGTCAATTTTAAAGAATTTAGATCGAAATATCCTTGTTAACAAGTTATAATTCCACATAGCGGTGGCAACGAGCCGAGCCCGAGCCGGAAAAAAAAAGCTCGGGCCGAGCCCGAGCTTTTTTCGGCCCGAGCCGAGCCGAGCCGGGCCCGGCCAAAAAAAATGAGGCTCGGCTGCCTTTGCAGGCAGCTGCTGCCCAGCAGCTTGCTTGCTGCCTGCAGGCAGCTGGGCAGCAGGCAGCAGCTGCTGCCTGCCTTGCAGCAGCTGCTGCAAGGCAGCAAGC